TGAAACGCTGCGTGTTAACGGTAGCTATGCAAAGCGTTGGCATTATTCAGCAAGCCCTTTGCAGGCACTCTGTCTCTTATTTGTCAGAGAATACAGTAGGGGAGTCTCCACGTCTTTGCTTTTGTTTCATGATTTCAAATAGTCAGAAAATATTACATTCACTAGCAATCAATTCATTTTGATTGATAAAAGGGGTTAATAAAAACTGCCTCAGAAATAAAAAAGGTGACGGTGATGTGTCTGCTGCTACCTTCCTTCGGCTGTGCATACAGAGAGCGAGCTTTTATACGTCTCCCCAATAAGTCTTCGCCCCTTGTTTCCTGCACCCAGCGAGTCATTTATAATCCTTATTATTTCCAGCCCATGCACGCGCATGGCATCTTTCATATTTAACATGCTGGGGGCTTCCTCTTCACTATGTAGGAAGGAGGAGAAGCAAAAAAAAAAAAACGTATAATTTATATGAAAGTACATGTCAAAAATGGATTATCAAACATACCCGATGTGGTTTCATACACTCAAAAATAACAGAGAATCAGCATGAAATATGAAGCAGCATGCTCCAATTTCAATCTCCTGTTGGACAGCGTGCGGCGTAGGATGCGCACGGCTGTGTGTTCAACAGACACTCCTGGGCAATTAGAAGCAGGAAGAGATGGCGCAAGGTGCAGTCAGTGCTTCCTGTTCCAAGATGGAGCGCGGCTTTGCGAGGTGCATTTTGGGGATTATTAACGTGCTCATTTTATAACTATTTGGCTTTGTAGCCATTCTTCACTTACTGCAAGTGTGAAGAAACGCCAACCGGACGGTGTACAGCTCCTGCCTTGCACACTGGCCACGCTGTCCCCGTGACGTTGAGCAGTAGAGTTGAGCACACACGTCACAGCCTTGGCCGGCAGTCGGAGCGCTCAGAGCAGCTGGCATCACGTACCCCTGTCTGACTGTCCGTTTGAAATCATCCGGGAACGCTCTGAGATCACAAAGCTCGGCGTGTCGTCGGAGCGCTCAGACAGTGGGTCACACCTCGCCTCAGTCAAGCACTCGTGCAGTATTACACGGATCACATTCAGAGAAATCGGGTACTGGAGTTTGCCATAAAGGAAAATGCAGCCCAAAGTAGAATGGCACTGGGACAAAACCACAAGCCTCATCCAGATGGTGGCTACCCAGGGACTAGCTTATGAAGAAACTACTACAATGAAAAATAACCTGGACTTGCATTTTGTGTGATGGTGGGGTAAGCCCCAGCTGGGGAGACCCACATCTCATATGGAAAGACCTGGCATGGAATCCTACCTCTGCTTCTAAAATAAATAGATAAATAAAGCATTTATATATTTGGAAGTCAAGAGTTACAAATACAGAGAAAGAGACACGGGTCTTCCATCTGCTGGCTCACTGGGCCAGAATGAAGCTGAGTCAGGACCTGCTGTGTTTTCCGTGTGGGGGATGGGGTCCCAGGGTCCCAAACACTCCGGGCATCGTTTGTGCCTTCCCCAGCACGTGAGGGCGCAAGAGACCACTGTCAGCACGCGGCCCTCGGCCACCTCACCACAGCAGGAGCTGTCTGAGCTAGAGGCCCTGAGATTGGCACCAAGGGGCAGGGGACCCTTCAGGCAGGGCCCTCCAAGGCATGGTGATGCTCAGAGGAATGGCTTCAGCTTGTTTGGGGTGGGTAAACCATGGGTACCCCAGGATGCGTGTACATTTCTAGAACATTCAGTGCTCACACAGTCACAAGATGGGGTCCAGGCCCGGCACAGTGGCCTGGCGGCTAACGTCCTCGTCTTGAACACACCAGGATCCCATATGGGTGCCAGTTCTAGTCCCGGCAGCCCCACTTCCCATCCAGCTCCCTGCTTGTGGCCTGAGAAAGCAGTTGAGGACAGCCCAAAGCCTTGGGACCCTGCACCCATGTGGGAGACCTGGAAGAAGATCCTGGCTCCTGGCTTCAGATCGGCTCAGCTCTGGCTGTTGCGGTCACTTGGCGAGTGAATCATCTGATAGAAGATCTTCCTCTCTGTTTCTCCTCTCTGTATATCTGACTTTGCAATAAAAAATAAATAAATCTTAAAAAAAAGATGGGATCGCCCGCCTGTCCCCAGAACCTACCTCTTCTCTCAAACTCGATTTCCAGAAAACACTGCCCGCCACTCACGCTCCTTCCAGCACTGGCACCCACGTTCCTCCAGGTGAGATCACAGCACATCTGTTCTGTGAATATTTTACGGATTACGTAGCAGGTCGCCATGGATGTCCAGCCACCTGTTGGACTCTGTCTTTCACGGGCTGAGGAGGAAGGTCCCACGTAACGGCACAGATGGCCTGTGTGCTCATTTGTGCCTCTGTCAGCAGACCTGGGTGCTCCTGCCTGCTCAGGGTAACTCTCCCGGAGTGTGGGTGTCACAGACGCTGGGTGCTCCCGCCTGCTCAGGGTAACTCTCCCGGAGTGTGGGTGTAACAGACACTGGGTGCTCCCATGTACTCAGGGTAACTCCCCTAGAGTGTGGGTGTCACAGACGCTGGGTGCTCCCGCCTGCTCAGGGTAACTCTCCCGGAGTGTGGGTGTCACAGACGCTGGGTGCTCCCGCCTGCTCAGGGTAACTCCCCTAGAGTGTGGGTGTCACAGACGCTGGGTGCTCCCGCCTGCTCAGGGTAACTCCCCTGGAGTGTGGGTGTCACAGACGCTGGGTGCTCCCGCCTGCTCAGGGTAACTCTCCCGGAGTGTGGGTGTCACAGACGCTGGGTGCTCCCATGTACTCAGGGTAACTCTCCCCTAGAGTGTGGGTGTAACAGACGCTGGGTGCTCCCATGTACTCAGGGTAACTCTCCCCTAGAGTGTGGGTGTCACAGACGCTGGGTGCTCCTGCCTACTCAGTGTGCCATCGTGTCACGGACATTTGCTGTTCCTTCCCGCAAAGCTACTGGGTCCAGTTTTTGCAAGTCCTCGCGTGTTCTGTCCTTCTTCGTAGAAGCTTCATTCATTGAAAGACGGACTTGGAGATGTCTCCCACTCACTCGTTCACTTCCCAAATGGCCACAATGGCCAGGGATGCAGAATGGAGGGCTGGAGCTCACAACTCCACCTGGGTCTTGCATGGTTACAGGGGCCCAAGGACTCAAGCCACCTTCCCTGCTCCCCAAGGTGTCCGAGAGCGGAGTCGGATCGGGAGTGCCGCAGCCGGGACCTGAACTGTGCTCACACCGTGGGGGTGGTGCTCACATCCGGCAGCAAGAGGCCTACCCGCTGTGCCGCACTGCCCACCTTGCTTCTTGAACACATAATGGGGGGGGGTCAGTGTGCTTTTTAAAATTTTCTATTTTATCTTTACTGTTGTTTACATAATTGAAAGAGATGCACACCCACATGGGCCTCTGTTTAGGGTGGGGAGGATCAAGGTCGGAGGAAGGAAAGGCAGATTTACAGAGGAGACACAGGAAGATCTTCCATTGACTGGTTCACTCCCCAAATGGCCACAAAGGCCGGAGCTGAGCTGATCGCAAGCCAGAAGCTTCTTCTGGATCTCCCACGCGGGTGCAGGGTCCCAGGACTTGGATCATCCTCAACTGCATTCCCTGGCCACAAGCAGGAAGTGGGAAGTGGGGCCCGCGGGACACGAACCAGCGTCCATATGGGATCCTGGTACGAGTAAGGCAAGAACTTCAGCTACTAGGCTACCGTGCTGGCCCAGTTCTTTTTTTTTTTTCTCCTTCTCCTTTTTCTTTTCCCATGTCCTCTGGAGTAACAAACAAGAGGGCCGCTCATCTCCGTCCAACTACCTCAGCCCCGGGGGTGGGGTTCATGCTTTGATGCTGCCTCGGCGACCTCATGTGGGGGAGCACATTGCGAGGGTGTCACTGGAGCGGTCTCGGTAGTTCCGAGACCAGCAGGTTGTAGGAATGGCTGTTGGGAACGTGTCCCCAAGGCCTTTCCGGGGCCTGAGTCCTGGCTGCTCTGCCGCAGGTGCAGCTCCTGCTAAGATGCCCGGGAAGGCAGGGGAGCCCCAGGGGGCCAGGCCAGACAGAGCTCCTGCCCGTGGCTTCAGTCTGACCCAGGACTGGCTGCTGTGGCCATTGAGGGACTGAAGCGGTGGAAGGAATGACTGTTTAAAAATGTAAGTGTTAGGGCCTGGCCCCGTGGCCTAGCAGCTAAAGTTCTCACCTTGAACGCACCAGGATCCCATATGGGTGCCAGTTCTCATCCTGGCAGCTCCACTTCCCATCCAGCTCCCTGCTTGTGGCCTGGGAAAGCAGTCGAGGACAGCCCAAAGCTTTGGGACCCTGCACCCATGTGGGACACCCGGAAGAAGATCCTGGCTCCTGGCTTTGGATCGGCATAGCATTGGCCGTTGTGCTCACTTGGGGAGTGAATCATCAGACGGAAGATCTTCTCTGTCTCTCCTCCTCCCTGTATATCTGACTTTCAATAAGTAAATAAATCTTTTTTTAAAAATGTAAGTGTTAGCATGAAGAGAGAGCTTCAGGATCGGAGGGTGCCACCAGTTGAAGCTCTGACGATCTGAACTTTCTCACTCCCCCTGGAATTCTGGAGTGCGCCTGCGAACGAGCCCAGCACCATTACGGGGTAAACTCGGTGTGGGTATTCTGCAGAGGGCGCGTGCCAAAGTCTGGGGGAACACGGTGATTTTGGTGCAAAGCATTTAAATTGCATGTGGCTTTTTTGTTTTTGTCACACGCATTTTCCAGGAGCATTCCAGTAAACCTCCCCATCACACGCACGGACACCCCAGCAGAGTCCATTTGCCCGCACACGGGCTGCCCGGGGCCGCAGGCGACCTTGCCGTGGGCCCAGGCCGGCCGAGACAACAGGGCACAAGCAGGACACCCGCTGGACACCTGCTGAACAGAGGGGAGCAGCTGAGGACTACAACTCCCAGCGACCACCACGGGACAGCCTCGCCCGCCGTGATTGGCCCGCTGCTCCGTCTGTCCGTACTGCAGGGGCGCAGGGACCAATCCGGAGAAGGAGGAGGCGGGCCTTCTCCGGCCGCCGGCGGAACCCTGCCATGGATTCTCGCGCGGCTGCGCCGGGCTCCGTGAGCGGAGAAGGAAACATCGGCCAGCTGCGCACGAGTGTGACCTGGTCCCCAGAGGCTCCGCTCGCCACTGCTCCTGCCTGCGGCGCCTCGCCCCGCCCCGCTCTCCTCATTGGCTCTCATGGGTCACGTGCAGAGGGTTCCCGGAACGCGCCGACTCGCGCCGGTGTCGCATGGACGTCCTGGTGCCGGGCTTCTGGCGACGGCGGAAGCAGCAGGAGCCCCCAGCTCCGGGGGAGGCGGTGAGCCCCGGGGCCGCGGCGTGAGGAAGGCGATGATGGCCGATGGCGGGCGTCCCGGGCGGGGCCCTCACCGGACGGCGCTTCCCAGAGGGGCCACTGGCGCCGGCGGGCGGAGCTTCCGCCCTGCAGCGGGCGGGGCTTCTGACAGCAGAGGGCGGGGCCTGGAGCCTGCGGGCGGGGCTTACACAGAGGGGTGGCGGAGCTCGAGCCTGTGGCGCGGGGCTCTGTCCTCGGTGGGCGGAGCTCGAACCTGCGGGGGTGTGGCTCACATCGTGTGGTAGGCGGGCCTCTGTCCTCGGTGGGCGGAGCTCGAGCCTGTGGCGCGGGGCTCTGTCCTCGGTGGGCGGAACTCACACTGGTGGGGGCGGGGCTTCCACCGCGGTGGGCGGAGCTCAAGGCTAAGGGGCGGGGTTCTGTCCTAGGAGACCGGCCCAGCACCTGCCTTCCAGCTGGCAGAGTGACCCCTCTCTGCCGAGGGCTGTGTCCAGCTCTTCTCTGCTGCAGGCAGGGCATGGAGCTGTGGGTCCTCGGGGGCCCCGGGTTGCTTCCCTCGCTCTTTACCTGGGCGTCGACTTCCTCCTGCAGTGACCATCCAGAGTGGGCGCAGGCCCCCGGCTGCGGTGGAGTGTGAGGAGGTGGGCGTATCTGCCGAGGACAGAGTGGAGCGGGCAGCTGTGGCTTAGGGGTGTTGTGACCGAGTGCTCTTGCCGATGCCAAGGCCGTGACTTGCGCCCCTGGGGCTCCTCCTGCTGCCCATTCGCAGGGCCAGGGGGAGGGGCTCCTGTTGGCCAGGCCTGCGTGCTCTGGGAGACATCTTGTGGGGACGTAACAGCGCTGGTCACTGAATATTGGCTGTTCATGGGATGTGGGTTTCACAGTGACCCTACCCATGCAGTCACGGTGCCCAGAGAGGCTGATGCGCTGCCTTATGCACAGCTGGACAGTGGCCAAGTCTTAGCCCTGAGGAGCTGGCGCGTTAGCCGTTGGGCCACCCAGTTCCCTGTGTGGACGTGTGCAGTGACAACACTGGCTTCAAGGTGAGTCTTTGGGGCCAGGTGTGGTGCTGGGGGCTGCCAGGGACAGGGAGCCCTGAGTGCGTCCTCCTGGGCCAGCGTGGTGCTGGGGGCTGCCAGGGAGCCCTGAGTGCGTCCTCCTGGGCCAGGCATGGTGCTGAGGGCTGCCAGGGACAGGGAGCCCTGAGTGCGTCCTCCTGGGCCAGGCGTGGTGCTGGGGGCTGCCAGGGACAGGGAGCGCGGCCATTATTGGTCAGTGAGAATGGGGAGGGCTTGATGGAGGACACCTGGCTGATGGGTATCGCTGAAATTAAGTGCCAACTTGAGGTTGCAGCACTCCCCAACTCTTGTCACAGAGCTGTGAGTTGGACTCGCGTCGCCAGGGCGTGCATCGCCTGTTAATCTGGTAGAGTCCTTGTTGATAGGGTGTGTGTCCTTGATCTAATAGTCCAGATTGTACTCAATGAAGAGTCCAAGTTTTCTGTTTCTGCCTCTCTCTCCGTCCTGTCTCCCTCTCCCAGGCTCCCACGCGCACACAGGTGCACCTCAGAGTTACTTGGGAACTGCAGCTACTCTCCTGCTGCTGTCCTTGACCCTGCCGTGCTCTTCTTAGTGCCTGTGGTCAGCAGGTGTCGGACGCCACGGCAGCCTGGACCCCCTCCCCAACAGCAGCCTGGATCCCCCTCCCCGACAGCAGCCTGGGCCCCCTCCCCCATGGCTTAGCAGGCGGCCCTCGGGCAGAGGCAGCGATAGGCACTTCCTGGGATGCCGAGTGGCCTGGGCACTGTGGCTTTCCTTGCAGTGTCAGCTGGTGCAGGACCGGTGCAGCCGGCGTGCAGAGTGGTGTGTGTCTTCTGAGCACCTCGTGTGTCCTGAACTCTGTTCCAGGCCCTTGAGACATGTGGAGCATGACAAGGGTGAAGATCTCGCTCAGGTTTACCCTGTGGCTCCTGACTGGACCCTGTGTGTCACGCCAGCAGCTGCCTCCCCTGCCTGCCACACACTGCCCAGACCAGTGTCTGCCCAGAGCCCCTGCAGGTGCTTGTCCATGCAGCCTTCCACCCTTGCCGAGGCTCCTCCCCAGAGAGCCCAGCCAAGGGCACCAGGCGAAGTCTGGCGTGCGGCTCAGCATCCCTGTGCTGGCAGAAGTGGCTTATGCCCAGTGTCCCGCGATGGGCTGTGTGCTGCTGGTGAAGCCAAGGGACTGGGCCCAGGGAGGTCGGGCAGAGAGCCCACGTGAGGGCCAGCAAAGGGCAGGCTGGGGAAGTCAGCCCCAGCTCCCAGCGAGAGGCCGCGTCTCCTCTGGGTGCGGTTCTGCCAGACGATGGTTCTGCCGCCACCGAGCCCGGGTCTTCTCACCCGGTCCACGCAGACCCCCACTCCCGTTCTCACCTGGTCCATGCAGACCCCCACTCCCGTTCTCACCTGGTCCATGCAGACCCCCACTCCCGTTCTCACCTGGTCCATGCAGACCCCCACTCCCCTTCTCACCCGGTCCACGCAGACCCCCACTCCCCTTCTCACCCGGTCCACGCAGACCCCCACTCCCCTTCAGACATACACTTGCTTCCTGGGGCACTGGGGGCTGTCCTGGAGGAGCTCTGGGCACTGCAGCTGTGTGCGTGGCTCTTCCGTGCTGCCTGCTGTTGGTCAGTCCCTTTTGGAGAAATGTCTGTCGGATCCTTTGTACATCAACTGCTTGTTGTTTTATTATTGAGTTTCAAGGCTGCTTCATCCTGGACCCTTGGTTTGTGATTTGCAGCAAGTCTGGTGGTCGGCCCCCGTGTCCTGACAGCCTGGTGGTCTGTAGTGAGTCTGGTGGTCGGCCCCCGTGTCCTGACGGTCTGGTGGTCTGCAGTGAGTCTGGTGGTCAGCCCCCGTGTCCCGAGAGTCTGGTGGTCTGCAGTGAGTCTGGTGGTCAGCCCCCGTGTCCCGAGAGTCTGGTGGTCTGCAGTGAGTCTGGTGGTCGGCCCCCGTGTCCCGAGAGTCTGGTGGTCTGCAGTGAGTCTGGTGGTCAGCCCCCGTGTCCCGAGAGCCTGGTGGTTTGGCTCTTCCTCTGGAGCAGTGTTTGGTTTGCGTCCATCTCTGAAGATGGTGTGGGGGCTCAGCTGCCTTCTAGTGTGGGCCCTGTTCTGTGTCCCTGTTAACTACCTTAGCACCCTTAATGAAAATCAGTCCCCAGTAAAGGGAGGCCTTTGCCCAGACTAACTTCCAGCCCTTACGTTAGTACCACTCTGTCCTGCTTATTGTTGCTTTGAAGTAAACGATGAAATATGCAGATAGAAGTCTTTCAACTTTGAGTTGGTTTTTTTTTTTTCATATTGTTGTACCGTTCTGGGTCCCCTGAATTGCTAATCTTAGGATGAGCTTGTCAGTTTCTGTGCAGAAACCGCTGGGGGGCGTGTCCTGAGTGCTGCCAGGAGGGTGGATGCGCAGTGTCCCTTAGCAATATTGAGTGCTAATCCATGAGCATGGGATGCCTTTCCGCTTCTCATTGATCTCCTCTGTTGTCGACCTCGCTCATTTCCACCCTCAGCTTTATTGCCCCCTGTTTACCCTGGGCTCAATGGCTTTGTCTTTTTTCTAATTTCTTGGGTGACAGCTGAGGTCACTGGTGTGACACCTTTCATCTTTTCCACTCTAGACGCATATTGTTCTGCGTTTTGTCTAAATGCTACTTTTGTAGACATTTCACTATCTTTTTAAAGGATCAGTTTTATTTATCTGAAAGAGTGACAGAAAGGGGCAGAGACACACACTGTTTGCTCTCGGCCTGGGCTTGAGCCAGGACAAAGCGCGGTGGCAGGCTGGGCGTCCGTCACGTGGTAGTGGGCTGGATGTCACGTGGTGGCAGGCTGGGCGTCACGTGGTAGTGGGCTGGACGTCACGTGGTGGCAGGCTGGGCGTCACGTGGTAGTGGGCTGGGTGTCACGTGGTGGCGGACTGGGCGTCACGTGGTGGTGGGCTGGTGGCAGGCTGGGCATCACGTGGTAGTGGGCTGGGCATCACATGGTGGCAGGCTGGGTGTCACATGGTAGTGGGCTGGGTGTCACATGGTGGCGGACTGGGTGTCACGTGGTGGTGGGCTGGTGGCAGGCTGGGCGTCACGTGGTGGCATGCTGGGCGTTCGTCACGTGGTAGTGGGCTGGACGTCACGTGGTGGCAGGCTGGGCGTCACGTGGTAGTGGGCTGGGTGTCACATGGTGGTGGACTGGGCGTCACGTGGTGGTGGGCTGGTGGCAGGCTGGGCGTCCGTCACGTGGTAGTGGGCTGGACGTCACATGGTGGCAGGCTGGGTGTCACGTGGTAGTGGGCTGGGCGTCATGTGGTGGCAGGCTGGTGGTGGGCTGGGGTGTCACGTGGTGGCAGGCTGGGTGTCATGTGGTGGTGGACTGGGCGTCACGTGGTGGTGGGCTGGTGGCAGGCTGGGCGTCACATGGTGGCAGGCTGGGCATCACGTGGTAGTGGGCTGGGCATCATGTGGTGGCAGGCTGGGTGTCATGTGGTGGCGGACTGGGCGTCACGTGGTGGTGGTCCATTCTGGACCCCTCCAGATGTGGAGCCAGTAACAGGTGGGCTTTAGATCCGTCACGTGTGTTCATCCGCTCTGCGGGTGAGGGACGTTTGGTCAGCGGTCACAAATCCTTAGTAAACAAGCATTTGCACGTCTTGGTGTGAACACGTGTTTTAATTTCCGGTGAGGTTGTATCTGAAAATGCACTTGGCGGCTGTGCTGTGTCCAGGGGACCCTCCCACCCCCCACAAAGCAGCCACACCACTTGGCCTTCCCAGCCGACTGGCCAGCTTCCCCATGCCTCACGCCTCACCAGCACTCGCTCTTGTCCGTGTGCTTGCTATGGGCCTGGAGTGGGAAGGAGGAAGCAGCGCATTCCAGGCCTGCTGGTGCTGCAGCTGCTCGGGGTGCTGACTGCCTCTGACGGACCTCTGCTGGCTAATCACCATTCCAACCCTCTGCCCATTTCAACA